GGCAATGCCGGGGGGGGAAATTGTTTTGTCCCGCGGTAAAGTTGTTTGCCTACGTGTTTATTATTTGGCCTAGTTGCCACATATTATATGTTGCTTTGTAATCTCAAGTTAAAATTCGTATATTCAGATCATTATTCCCAAGGAATCCAAGAGTAAAAACGCATAACGTACGGAATGCGCACTCGAGACTAACAAGGATTGAAGATCACTTGACAGGCCGAGCATACTGTGCGAAAACGTCGCGGTGCAAAACTATTAATCTCGTATGAACGCGCTCGCCGGTTACGGCCTGTTAACGGCCGGCCCATAATTGCGGGTATGAAACTGTCAACAACGATTTATTTGACCGCGGAATTTCAATTGGATGGATTTCTATAGTGACCATTGTCCAGTGAATATTGGAGCAAACTAATACGCGTGTTGGCTTATAAGGATAATGTAAATTATTAACTCAGCAAGGTGGCCAAGTTAGCTGTAGGCATTGCTTTTAAAATTGCATAATCAATGGTCGAATTATGCCTTTAAGCTATCCAAATCGCTAACTGTATCACAACAATGTATTTATACGTCCAGGTTAGTCATTGAAATCGCAAGCAACATACTGGAAAAGTGCACTTTTACCCTCTAAATCATATCATAAAAAATGATAGATTGTGCGCATTTTATTGGCCTTTTGACCATTAATCACCTTCCAGAGCATGCCAGCAGGCTTGTAACATAGCTCTGAGGTGAGCGGGGAGTAGCAAATTGCTTCATGCACAGTCGCATTGGTCATTAACCAGGCAACCCAAGTGCAATGGGAGCTGGAGGCCCCTGCTGGATTTACGCAATTACAAAAATATTTACATAAAATGCTTCGAGAATGGGCATCTTAAAAACATTTTTAGAGTACAATGTGTTATTATTGTGTACCATAAAAGATGTAATAAACTTAATTTCCATTTATTATGTACAATAACTTTTAAACCTACCTAGTGTACACTATATATCTCAATCGTCATTTCAGGTATGACGATGCTAGCACACTTCAGAGTGGGGACACCTATTGCAACGAATTGCAATTGGATGTACCACTAGATGAAA